ATAACTAACATCTTAGCTAAGATAGGCTTTTCATAATAACTAATACAACCTGCCTGGCAATTTTGATGAGGCCCAGAATTAATATGTCATAAAACCTTAAGGATAGGCAATTCACATTGTATAAAGTCTATGAGCAATCATTGGATTTACGCTACCAGGGAGCTCTAATAATAGGGTGTTGATAAAGTAAAAGATCAAGAATACCAGAAACCCTTACCAAAGAGCCTTATAAGGATTCCAAAGGATTGTAAAGAGTGATCACATGTTCTACGGAATTAAGGTAAGGCATAAATATAGACATCTCTCTCAAAAGTTCTGTTAGGGACCACCTAGAATTCTTGTGAAGAATATTAATACTTGGGCTCCACCCTCAGAATTTGATTAACTAGTTCTGGGGATTATCAGCCAGATGAAGACAAATTTATAGATCAGAACCAGAGAAACAATGCTAATTTCAGTAAGTTTATTGGAGATGCATTTCCTATCTTCAATGTGTACTTAGCAGGGCAAACAGCCACTGGTGGCCATGAAGAAGCCCAGAGAAAAGGGGTGAGATTTGCCAAGAGCTGGAAGGGGACTGTGTCAGTATGTACTGCTCTTGCCAGCTGGGCTCTGGACAAGTGCTATGTCATATTGACCTTTTCCCTATAATGGGCAGTAAGCATCAAGTATAATCATGCATTAACACAAGGTCAGAATTCATTTTCCTCCCTAAGATGGGACACATTACTCAGCCCATCTAGTGCTTCAGCACCACGGACAGCGCAATTCGTGGGATTGGCTAAGAGCACATCAGCAGGCTTGGAGCTTCTGGGGGAGAGTGAGAAAGAATGGGAGCTGCCATGGTGATAGCCCTTGAGAGATCTGGACCCAACTGGAGATCCTCCCACGTGACACAAACTGCTTTCATGCTGACAGGCCTCATTATAGTATTTTTTTTTTTAACTTGGTAGTGGTCTTAGGCGTTGTATGATTTGGAGTGCATTAATATACCACCTTAGCTTTCTCTCTTATCCCCCTATGTACCACCCTTGTGTCTCCAGGAATCAGAGCTAGAAACCTCACTAGTCCATTGCACAAAAGATTGTTCTTTTCTTTATCCTTCTCTACCCTCAGAGAAGAATAAATTCTATTCCTTTTTAAGTCCCAGTTCCCGTATATGTCAAATGGGAAAAATTTGGAGCACTATTAAGGGAGTGAGATGAACAATACATATAGTTTCTACCATAGGAATCACTGGGGTCATGTAGGAAAGTGGAGTTGCCTGGAACTATAGGACAGACGTTCACCTTACTGCCAGTAATGGCTACTTTCAGGTTTCCTGCTGGGGTCCAGAAGACTGAGGATTTCATGTGTCCTTGTATAGGACTGGCACTGCCATCTGGAGGGGGGCACATTCCTGTTCCATTCACCTGAGAACAGCTAAAGGCATCTATTTAGGCTGTTTAGACTGCTGCAACTTCTTGCCATACCATGCCTCTGCTTCTAAAGTCTCTTTCTCTATGAACTGTTTTAAGAATACAAGTAATGCCACTTGTCATATATTGAGCAATCACAAAGGTTTACATACTCGGCTAGACACTTAGTATGCATTATGTCAATCATTAGTCTCAAAATAATCCCCATCTGATAGATGAGAAAAGTGAGATTCTTGGAAATCACTTGGCTCTCCTATGTTTCACTGTAAATAAACAATGGGGCTGAGATGCAAACCCACCCAGTCTCACTTCAGAGGATACACTGCTAACCAAGACATTACATCATGTAAGGGCTGGGATGGGCAAGGCCTTCCAATGCTGCCCGCCATGCTTACACTCTGGAACTTGTAGGCTCCATGCTTATTTCTAATTCTCTTTTGTACCAACTGTATTTTCTTATTTTCTATATTCTTGATACTTTGGTATCTGAGCTTTCCAGACTGGTGAGAGACAGCCCTCCTGAGGTTAACCACATCTTACAGATAACAAAAGACGTGCTCAGGAGTATGCCTTTCTTATCAGATTAACCAATACGGAGCCCTGACTCCATGCATCTTCCTTTTCTGCCTCATACACCCTGGAGATAATATTTCTCTTTCCTAATCACTATTGGGTTCTGGTATAGGATAACTGGAGACAGTTCTTAAACCTCATAGCCTACCAAATTTCAAACTAGCTAACCCTAAACCTATCTACCCTGTTGACCCTATCTTCTCACAATAATTACAATACACTCTCTTGCCCATTCTTCTCTCTTGCTCCCTTGACCCCCTGATATACCCTGGTATCTGGCTGAGGCCGTGCATCATGTACTGTACATCTGTACCTAGAATCTGTGATCAGATAAACTTAGTGTTTCACAAGTTATTTCTGTATCTGTGTCTTTCCTTATTGGATTGAAACAAATCCCAGATACATTTAAAAACCTCTTTGCTTCCTATACATTTTCTACCTGCGTTTTCTTCCAGGGTCCCCTTTTGTTAGAAATCTAGTAGAAGAATCCCATAATACTGTTAATAATTCTGCTTTAATTCAGGCCACATCACATTCAGGTCACATATGTTTACTGAATGTCCATCATGGACCAGGCACTGTGATTGTCATTGGAGATAACATTCCTGCCAAATGACTCAGCTGCTACTCTCATGGAGATCCCAGTCTAGAAGCAGATACAGACAGGCCCACGGCAGTTACATAGTAGCCCATTGGGGACAGAGGTCAGAATAGGACATCATCAGGACACTGAGAAGGGGCATTATTTAAATCACCCCATTTTGGTCCTTCCATGCCATCAAGATCATATGCAGATTTCTTAGGTGCCCCTTTGATTTTGCTATTTCCCAGCTGCATCTTATAAAGATGGGAAAGAAGTGGGAGTTGTAGTGCTCACAAAACCCTTATAAGTATTTTTAATATTATTTACATCTTTTAGATGCAGAGACAGAGGCTAAGAGAAGGTAAATCATGTAGCTGTACCTACAGAAGTGGCAGACAATAGGAAAAAATATTGGAATTCACACTTGTATCATTCATAGCCTATACTTTTAAACATTTAACTATTTGACCATAACCTTGAGATAGGTAATCATCTAAGGGCCTCCACTTCTAACTGTATGCAAATAAATAGCTAAAATTTGAATATCCCTAAGGCATAATATTAAACAGTTATTGAGTAGTGATTTATGAGGGATATCAGGTCGGGGACAGGCCTACCATTATTGCTAAAATTTTCCTACTATTCCTTCAGACTTAGTTTTTGTCATTCCTGCTTACCCAGCCCCATTTCCCAGCCAGGCTCAGGTTCTGGCAATTCTTCCAGCCCCAAGTTCTGCGAATCTACTTGCCTACTTGCTCCTGTAAATTTTGTTTCTTGTGCCTCCTCTGTCATCCCCCTGCTGTCTCTCATACACATTTACCTCTCATTGGGACACATATGATTTCAGAGGGACCAACCAGAAGATTTGTACATTTGGGCATGGTGATGCATGCCTGTAATCCCAGGCATGAGGCTGAGGCAGAAGGATCACAAATTCAAAGCCAGCCTCAGCAACTTAGCAAGGCCTTAAACAACTTAGCAAGACCCTGTCTCAAATAAAATATAAAACAGGGCTAGGGATTGTGGTCCAGTGGTTAAGTGTCCCTGGGTTCAATGCCTGATACAAAAAAAAAAAAAAAAAGACGTATATATAAGTCTGAAAATCAACTGAGTATAGACAAAATGAGAGATATAGAGCTTATCTATAGTCCAAGTGAGAAACAAGCAGAATCTCATTCACTATGGTGAAATGGGAACAGTCAGAGACTGCATTAATAGAAGTATGGGTATTTCTGAGAAAGGAGTAAAAGTTCCATTTTGCTCTGATCAGCTCAAATTAAAGGAAAGGAGTTAAGTTTGAATATCATAATTTAAAACATGGAAAAAATTGAGTTGCTTTGAGATAAGGCTGACAAATGGAAGTAAAGGATCTCAAAAACATTCCTGGTATATCCAATGAAAAAGGTTTAAAAATTTAACAAGCTAATAGAAGTCAGAGTGTTGGTTGCCTCTGGAGAGCATTAATGGGCAGGGAGCATGTGGGCAGCTTCTGAGGTGCTAAAAGTCTTCTTTTGGTTTGAGCTGGGCCTTTATGTTAAAGGTTCTTATTACAAAAATAGGAGAGGGGAAACCTTCAGAGGTGATGGCTATGATCATGGCATTATTTATGGTGATGGTTTCACAGGTATACATTTATCTTCCAACTAATCAAGAAGTACACTTTCAAAAAGTGTGAAAGATTTAAAAAAATAAAAATTCATTAGCATGCATAGCTCTGATGCCCTTCATGAGATTATTTCTACTAAACTTCAATACATTTCAAGATAGTCATGCCAAGTGAGGACAGAGGTTCAGGGAAACAGGCGCCAACCTCCCAAGCTGAAGGATGTAAACTGAAACGACTTTTCTGGAGGGCACTTTAGCAATAGATATCAAACACCTTAATCAGTTTCTTGGACCATGCTTTGCTAATGACTGCAGTGACTACAGTGTCTCATTAATTCAATTTAATTGGGCGAAGAATAAATGGTAGAATGTAAGATACTTGTAACGTACGTTAACAGGGAATGAGATATGAATATTCTCCTGAACATTCAGGAAGTTCCAGTAAAACTCAAACCATCTTCCCTGTCATATGCATTTAATTAGCAAATACCCTTTGGGGGGTGTTTTAAAATTGGAATAGGATCCACAAAAATAATAAGAAGCAGTAGGTTCTCTGAAGTAGCTCCATTCTCCCGCATTCACATTTGAATTCTTCCTATAGTTAACAAACCTTATCGCTGCACGTAGAATGAAAGCCATCTTTCATTTAATTCTGATAACCCAGGACATTAAATGATAAGGGACTCTTCCAAAGCCTTTGGACGCTTCATTTTTCCTGTACTGCCTACCATTCTGAGGTTGGGCCATGCGTCGAGACATCTGACCAGCTAGAGATGCAAGGTGCCAGGTAACAGTGGGGCACTGTGAAGCGGGGCTCTTACCGTCTGCAATGAAGTGCTCAGGTACATGCAGAGTCACCTTCACAGTGAGTGGACAGGACATCTGGCTGCCACACACCATAGCCAGGATGCAGGAGCTCACCGCAATCAGTGTCAGGGCTGTCTTGTTCATTGGACTCTTCAGTAAACCTGGTGACACAAACACACATAATTCCATGAGGTGAGGAAATGGGGACAACATGGCATTTGGGAATCCTATTATTTACAGAATGGGAATCTGAAAAAAGGAGGAGGGGAAAAACTCTCATCTTTTTCAACCTTTGCATATCCTTATTTGGTCTTGGTTTAATTCCCTTGACAAATGAGTTTATGATTTCTTTGGGGGAACAACACAAGAAACAAGCTCTCTGAAAATTGTTGCTAGTCTCACTCATCCCTCTCCAATTTGGTTGGCCATTCTTTTGTTTTTTGTTTTTTTGTGGTGTCAGGGATAGAACCCAGGGCCTCAGGCATGCTAGACACATGCTTTACCTCTAAGCTACATTCCCAGCCCTTTTAAAAAATATTTTATTTAGAGACAGGGTCTTGCTGAATTGCTCAGGGCCTCCCTAAGCTACTGAGTCTGGCTTTGAACTTATGAACCTCCTGCATTAGCCTCAGCCTCAGCCTCTCGAGCAGCTAGGATTACAGACATGTACCACCAAGCCTGGCAGCCATTTCTTTTTAAGATTGATTTATTGAAATATAACAGTAATAAACCCATTAGACATTAATATAAAGAACATATATTTTCTAAATCAAAACTGAAAAGCACGGCATCATCTTACATTTTTTATAGCTCCTTTCAATATCTTTCTTAATATAAGGAAGCTAGATTTTCACCCCCTTCCCTGTAGCCATTCTTGATAATCATGAGTTGATACCAAACTCTCCACTCTCTCTAGAAACAAGTGGGATGGCATTGTGTTGCTGAATTTAGCAGGGGCAATGGGATGAGTGTGTGCCTTGGTGTTGGATAATCCTAGGTTTACAGTTAGGCTTTAGTCCTCTCAGGCTGTGTGATCTGCTTCACTTTCCAAACCTCAGGTAGAAGAGGCCCCTCACAGGACTCCAGAGATGACCACCTGACATAATGTGCTTGATGTCTGTCCTCTGGAAGGGTCTCACAGATAGCCATTCAATAGCATTTACTGAGCACCTACTTTGTGAGATGCATATAGGGCAAAATAAGAATAGCCCCTGTTCTTCAGGAATTTATAGGTTAGAGCAAAAGCAAGCATATGCACAGTTAATTGGCTTCCAAGAAAAATTGTGTAAGACCTAGACAAGAGGGTTGAGTGTGGGGAGGCAAATTTTACATGGGAAAATTAAAGACAATTTAATGGATGCAGTGGAATGAGTCGATTGTCTTGGCATGGCTAGGAGTGCGTTGGGCCAGCAAAAAGATCTGAGTCCCAGTTTGTTTCTCAAGCTTTGGGCTTTGCTCTTGACATATGTTTTCAAGGGTTTGATTACCAGCTTTAGAACAATACCTCCAAAATTTCTGTTACCTGCTGAGCTTTTCTTTTGAGTAAACTTCTCTCCCTGAACCTCCTGACTCTCTGTGGACATCACACAAACATGTCAAATTTAATCCACTCAACACAGGGCTCATTATCTTCTCATTAAAGCCCCCTCCTCTTCCTGAGCTCCTTAATGTACTGACAGCATCTCAGAAGGTCATGCACGTAGATGTCATCATTTAGACTTCTGTTTTCCTCCTTTATAGAAATGAAAGTCACCCAGCCCTATTTATTCCATGTCGTTGGCATTTTCACATCCTGTCCCCTTCTCTCCTAGTGTCTGTGTGCTTTCAGGATGAGGGAGGTGTGGGCATATCTGTCCACTGCACTCCTGCTGAAACCCCTTGAGCTGTTTTACAGTGTCTGGTCACAGGAAATGATCTGTGCTCATTAGCCTGGCATCTGCAGCCTTTCATGATGACTCCTATGTTCATACCTCCTCTGCAGTCTCCTGCCTGGTCGAGGTGTTGGCAGGGCTGGATTGGTGCAATGCCCTCACAGTCAGCCTCTCCATCAGGTTAATACTGGTGTAGGTCTTGTTTCTTTGGATAGAGCTCTGCTCATTTCCTTGTCTCCCTCCCCAACACTATTTGAGGTTCATCATAAATGTAAATCCTTCATTGATTGTGTTTCCCTGAATATCTTATTCCAAACTCTAGAATCTAGTGTATAGATCATGAGAAAAAGCACCATGTCCTTTGCTTGTCATTTTGTCCCAGTGCCTCACCCAGTGTCTGGCACACGGTAGAATCTCACTACATGCATGATCACTTCCAGGAATGTTAGTGACGGCATGACGCAGACCAAAAGAAATGCCAAACTAACATGGCCACGCTAATGGGTTCCAGTGGAAGAAGAGCCTCATAACAGCGCACACGAAGATTGCTTTATGGATGTTATTTTTCTGAATAAACAGTGAGCAGCTTGAGGAAAGAGATTGCATCTTCTCTGTCTTTGGTCTCTCATGCGCAGCTTGCTGCCTGGAACCAAGAAGTTGGTTAGTTGAAGAATAGGATCCTTGTCTTTATTCCCAGTCCTAAGATAACGTACAGTATTGTAGGGACTATTCACACATTTGCAGTTGTTACAGTTGTACAATAATGCTAACTGGAAGAATCAGTTAAATAATAAGATGGTTCTAGTGTCAGAAGATGGGAAATCCCTAAAACCTAAAATGACCACAGGGAAAAAAAAAGCAACAAGTTTTATCTTTTATTTGAGCACCATAAGAGGCTGTTTCAAACCCAAATAATAAAAACAGTTTAGTAATATAAACAAGCTAACATCAATATTTTCTACTAGAAAGAAGGCAGACTAGCTTCAGTTGGTGTCATGCATAGATCTCATCTTAAAATGTCAACATATTATTACTCCAAGCCTGATTACATAACAAATCTCTCCCAAACAACTGATACCAGTTTCTACTTGAGATTCTGTGGACCCTACTCTGGGGGAAGGAATATCTGAGGATAAGTCCTGCAAGGACAGATTCTTGGTTCTAATTCTTGGTGTGATAGGGAGTAGGAGGTTCTTGGCACTGGGGAATGAATGGCCTGGCCAGCCAGGCATGGAAAAGCACCTGTGCACCCCCCAAGAAAGCATTTCTCATCCTTGGATCCTATAGCCACAGAATCATATATGGCCAAGACATTCCTTTTACTAATTAACCAACTATTAGAAATACCACCTAGGCTCCATGGAACTGACTCCTGGGAGGATGGCTGAGGAGTAGGAGTGGGATTGCTCCTACTCCCTTGCTGGGCCCTGGCTGAACCAATGGTATCACCTAGGTCACTTAAATCATTCCAGTAACCCATGGTCTTTAGGAGTCAACGTGGGAGGTGAAGTCTCCTTAGCTTATCTAGATGTGGTTTTTCACTGAGAAAATAGGAATAAAATGACTTATCCCTTGAAAGTGTTGGAAGAACTGAATGAGACAGTAAGCTTCAAAGGCTCAGCATGGTTTCTGTCCTATGGTAGGCCCTGGGTGAGCAATATTTCCCTAACCATATATAGTTATTTTTCTCATCACTGAGGGCAAAATCCAGGTCAAAATATATAATAATTATCATATTATTAACATGATAATTGCCAATTATCATATTAGGAACTGAATTATTCTTTACAAGAACAGAAAACAAAAGGAGAAGATAGTGAAGGAGGGAAACATGAAGAGGGAGAAAGTGAGAAGGAGAATAAGAACGGACAGCATCCTGGGGCAGTCGCTTACTCAGAGAAGGTCTGAATCACCACAGTTTTCTCTGAAGTCCAGGAGGAAGAAAGCACACTGGCCAAGCTTGCTCTAAGGCCAGCTGCCCATGGAGCAGTCACTGGGGTTTGGGGAGTTGCCATGGCAACCGGAAACTTCACAGTGGGACTCAAACAAAGGTGACTTCTTAAGAGTTGCTGGTCCATGGAACTGAACATAAGCACTTGGCTCCAGTGAGTTAGAGGGTAGCAAGCTAGAAAATATATATATATCCCATAATGTCTACCCCGTCCCCATGCCAACGCTGCAAAGCACTCACATTGCAAGAAGTAGGAAAGGGAACCTCCATTTGGGGATTGCTCACTATGATCCATCCATCACTTCCCATCAATCTTTTAGAAATATTTTTTAGTTGTAAGTGGACCTATATTTATTTATATGCAGTGCTAAGAATCAAACCCAGTGCCTCTCACATGCCAGGCAAGTGCTCTACACCACTGAGCCTCAACCCCAGCCCCCAGCCCATTAATTTTTATTGAATATCATCTCTTCCTGGGCACTACTCTAGGCATGAGGGAAATGATAATGAACACAACAGCCAATGTTTTTGAAGCTTACATGGGGGTGGGCACCAACTCATTTCATTCTCAGGGCAAATTGTTGCCACTATCTCCATTTTACACAGAAGTACAGGGCAATGAAATGACTTAGCTAAGGTCACTCAATTTGTATGAGTCAGAGACTGAATTAGAACCAGTCCTGTTCTATCCTTTCCCTGTGTCACATCACTGCCCCCTTTATCACAGGACAAGGGTTCCAGGATGAAACCTGTGTAACACTCGTCAATTGATCCAACCCTTGTAAGTCAAAATGTCTCCATGAGAAAACGGAAAAAGAGATCTTCATTCAGAACTTATGTGAGGCTGGAAAAGATCACAGATGTAATTAGTTAAAAAAAAAAACAGTAAATAAAAGTTCCAGTCACAACATGGGTCTCCTCAGATGGCCATGGTCATAGTTCCCTTTGGTTCACATCCCCGTTCACAGTCACCTCCGTGTCACTACAGGGGATATTGATTGTTGAGGCTGGAGAAAGCTAATAATCTAATTTTCCTTTCATTTCCCCTCTCATACCCTTCAACTCCTATCAAGGTAGGAGAGGATGGCATAAAATGCATGGCTTGAGAAATTCGACTGGAAATAACTTGGCATTGTTGGTCCACACACTGCCTATAATTTGGGGTTTGATTGATTCTTGGTTTGGAGATGCCAGGTTGAGAGAAGAAAATCAAATTTAAGTTAAATTTGAAATTGAATCAATCACTTCTTACAATGAAGAAAATAGATCTAACCCCATCAGACCATTGTGCGTGGAAAACTTAAAGCTGCTACACTCCCATTGATTCCTTCCTCCTGAT